TAGACAAATAACATAGTAAATTAAAGGCAAAATATTGTCTTCCATAATAAATAAATTTATTAAAAACTTGAAAAAATATTTAAAATAAGACAAATAATGGAAATACAAGTCGAAAATACTATAAAAATAAAGATAAATAACATTTATAAGATAATTAGAAAATTTGTTAATCTAATAATTTGGTAGTCTAAGTCTTGGAAGGAGTTCATGTATAAAAGAAAATTTTCCTAAGTTGTGGAAGGAGTTCGTGTATAAAAGAAATTTCCTAATTTGTGGAAGGAGTTCACGTATAAAAGAAAATTTTCCTGTTATGGAAGGTGTTCATTTATAGATGTCTTGTATGGAGGAGCTGTCGGAGATACATACCTGCAGTTGTACATATATATGGGGTGGTCGGGAGCCCGACTGCCTGAAGTACTGTAGCACAATGACTAGTCCTATATTAGGGACTTATGATAATAAACTCAATGATACAAAAGCAATACTATAGAAGGTCTCTATGATGAATATGCATTACAATAGTAGGGTCGAGGGTTCGAACCCTATATATTAATGACTTATGAAAGTAAGGTCTATGATACAAAAGCAATACTATAGAAGGTCTCTATGATGAATATGCATTACAATAGTAGGGTCGTGGGTTCGAACCCTATATATTAATGACTTATGAAAGTAAGGTCTATGATACAAAAGCAATACTATAGAAGGTCTCTATGATAAATATGCATTACAATAGTAGGGTCGTGGGTTCGAACCCTATATATTAATGACTTATGAAAGTAAGGTCTATGATACAAAAGCATTATTATTGAAGGTCTCCTTGATACATAAGCATTGTATGGGGTGGTCGGGTGAGCGACTGCTCCTAGTACTGTAGCAAAATGACTAGTCCTTATTAGGGACTTGAAAAGGAATATTATGGTGGCGTGTATACTGTTTCACGAGCAATAATTGGTCCGAGGTAAACTTGGACTCGCTAACCGATGTGTCCTAGACATATCATCTTAGTGCTGGTGGTAAGCGGGTTTGTTGTAGCAATACGGCTTTCCCGTGGACATCGCACACCCATACCGTTTGTGGGCGACGTCGTAGTGCATAGCGATGCGTCGTCTATCTTTCGGATTGGGATGAGTATGTTTGGTAGCAATTTTAAGTGTAACCAGCATACTCAACCTCATGTCGGAGGTGGAGTTTTGTTCATTGGCGTCTTAGTAGCGTGCTACTATGATACGTTGGTGATATTTTTTATATAACAACAATACAAACTTTGTTACCAAAGTCGATAGGGATCATGTGGGTGTGTTGTGAGGGGGCGCCATCCGTATGATAGTTGTATTGATGCTTACTGCTACTTGCGGTATTGCGCTTTGTGATGGATCTGCGGGTGTGCTGCGCCTGATTCGACGCATTCTTGTGGTTCTGGTTGATGGAGGTAAACAAATAACATCTTAGTGCCGGTGGTAAGCGGGTTTGTTGTAGCAATACGGCTTTCCCGTGGACATCGCACACCCATATCATTTGTGGGCGGCGTAGTAGCGCATAGCGATGCGTCGTCTATATTTCGGATTGGGATGATGAGTGTGTTTGGTAGCACTTTTAAGTGTAACAGGCATACTCACTTCATGTCTTAGTGCAATAGCGCTATGATACGTGGAGTTTTGTTCATTGGCGTCTTGGTAGCGTGCTACTATGATACGTTGGTGATATTTTTCATATAACAACAATACAAACTTTGTTACCAAAGTCGATAGGGATCATGTGGGTGTGTTGTGAGGGGGGCGCCATCCGTATGATAATTGCATTGATGCTTACTGCTACTTGCGGTATTGCGCATTGTGATGGATCTGCGGGTGTGCTGCGCCTGATTCGACGCACTCTTGTAGTTCTGGTCGATGGAGGTATGCAGGTGGTGATGTCTGCTGGGATGTATGGGGGACCTTGGGGTGGTGTAAGCCCGACGATAGTCGTATTGATGCTTGTTGCGTTATGCAGCGTTGCGTCTTTGCGATGGTTGTTTGTGGGCCTATTCTCAATGGCGCTCTCTTCGTCTTGGTTTGACTCACACCTGAGTAGCTTTGCCCAAGTCGGGTCCCTTCATTACGGGGCTGCAGACTGTCTGCCTTCCACGATGTTCTATATAACAACATAATATTATATCTCTCTAACTTTCCCACCTTTGAATGATTGAAGGCAACTTGTTGGTGGGTGAGACAAACACGATCGAAAATTCATTTAATCAACGTCAGTGACACAAACCCTTTCTGATGGCGAATTATTACTCTTATATTATAACTGCCTTTTGGCTATATCTGCCGCTGTATTGGTTGGTGGAGCATATGTGTCGACCTCATGCGGGTGGTAGCTGGCGGGAGGATCTGAGGAGACTCTCATGGCTGCGGTCGAAATCCGCACAACGTGGGACGCCATTCCCTCGAGGTGAGCGGTAGACTCATGACACGCTCTGCGGCTAGTAGCCGTGCTGATCATGCAATTGGTGGTGATGCCATACACTTACATCACGTCTGCAGGAGCGGCGGTCTGGCAGGTGGTGGCGCTCACGGAGGGTTTACGGCCAGTGTGCCTATTTGCCTAAACCGTGTGACGTACATTTACTGTGGCTGGATTCGTTCGTATTCTGTATGGCGTTTACACGCATTGACATGCGCGACTTCGGTCGATGGTTGTGCTTACGCACTAACAAGGGGTCAAGCCTCTTTTACTGGTTCGCCAGTTATTTTGCTGTGGACTACGGTCCAGTTCCCGAATTAGCGTTACCGGGGGGAGTGCATCAAAATGGTTGGCGCTCACCGTGCACGGCTTGTGTGGGGCCGTGTGCCTCCACTACATTTTTTAAATAAATGTAGGAGAGCGAAGCCCTTGTATCGGGTATTTTGTATAAATATATTTTGAGCCTTTTCCGAGCGGGAAGGGATAAATAATAATAAATTAATAATGTAAATCTGATACAAGTGGAATAGGGACGTTTTATGTTCTTAACCTTTCTCGAGCCCCGTCTTCGTGAACGGGGTTCACTTAGCTTATAAGGCACTACCAACAGCTTTCAATTGCTCTAGTGAATATTCATTCTTCCAAAAGACACCTAAAAGAACTTAGTTACTAAACAAACACAACGTAAATAAGGGTCCTAACTAAGACGATCATGCCAAAAATATTACAAACGGCCTATTATTAAACCTTTAGAAAGATCATTTAGAAAGATCAAAACATATTTTAATAATCTTGGTCACAAATATATATAATTATTATGTAAAGGCGAATATAATACATTTAGTATTTTATATATTTTTTATTATGAGAGGGGGAAGCGTTACAATATGCAGAAGAAACAGCGTTGGCGATAGCACGCAGCCTTGTGGAACACCAGCATTAATAGGCTTGCAATCGGAGCTTGCACCGTCTACAACGACCTTGATGCTCCGATCTGCAAGAAAGCTGGTGATCAAATCGCACAATTTCTCGGGAAGCCCATAGGAAGGGAGCTTCGAAAGAAGCGCTTTGTGCCAAACCCGATCGAAGGCCTTCGCAATGTCCAAACTAACGACCAATGACTCCCCCCTTGGACTCTACTGCCTCCGCCCATCTGTGAGTTAGGTAGACCAGAAGATCACCAGCTGACCGACCACGGCGAAAACCGTATTGGCGGTCACTAATCAGCTGGTGATCCTCAAGGTACCTCATGAGCTGGCAGTTTACAATGGACTCCATTGTTTTGGAGAACAAGGAGGTGATGGCGATAGGCCAGTAGTTGGACGGGTCTGAGCGGTCGCCTTTTTTTAGGGATCGAGTGGACGAAAGCCGTCTTCCATGATTTTGGGACTACGCCTAGGGAATAGGAGCACCGGAAAAGACGCGTTAAAACCGGTGCCAACTCTGAAGCACACTTCCTCAGCACAATTGGGGGGATTTCGTCAAGCCCACTCGACTTGTGGATGTCCAGGGAGAGGAGTGCTTTGCGAACCGAGCGTTATGTGACCTGCACTTCCGGCATGGAGCACTCACACCGCGGGATGGTCGGCGGCGTACTCCTCCACTTCTCCGTGCATCCAATTTTCCGCAGCACTATCCAGAGGGCTTCTCGCGGTACACTATACTCGTAGAATGCTTTCTCAAAGTCTACAAACAGAGATACATAATACGACCCTGTTCTCTGCTTTTTTCCTGCAGTTGACGCAATGAGAAAATCGTCTCACATGTACAACGGTCTGGTCGAAAGCCGAACTGGGATTCCAGCAAAATCATTTCAGAAAGTTTCCTGAGGCGGTTTAATAGAAGTCTGGCGAAGATTTTTCCAGGCACAGAAAGTAGAGAAATGCCACGGTAAGAATTGCAGTTCCACCGGTCACCCTTGCTTTTATATAGGGCTCGTATGAGGGATACCTTAAAAGTATTAGGAACTTGTTTTTTTTCCCACATAGTGACAAAAAGTTCCCATATCGCCGAATACAAATCCCCACCGCCATACTTCAATAATTCACCCGGTATAAAATTAACACCAACCACGCATTTATTTTTCTGCTGCTTAATGCAAGAGCAACCTCGTCAGGCGAGACTGGCTCATCGAGCTCGAGGGCAAAAGGTTGCCGAGGTAGGCAGCAAATATGGTCTAGGTCAACAAAATGATCCACGTTAAGTAGGGTGTTGAAATGCTCCGCCCATCGCTCGAGTATTTCCTCCCTGCTTTTAAAAAGCGCTTCACCACTAGTTGAATTCAGTGGAACTTTTGCCATAGAGGACGTACCGAGTAGATGTCGTACTCCAGCATAAAACTCACCGATCTGGTTGGTATCAGCGAGCCACTGCATCTGACGAGCCTTCTCCTGCCACCACTTATCTTTCGCTTATCGTGCGAGTTTACGCAGCTCCAGATCACTATGAAGCAACTCCTTAACACTTCCACTCTGATGAGTTCTACTGTGCTGCTTTAGGAGCCTACGGTGTTTATCAATAGCGTCTGTAAGTATCCCATCATTATCATCAAACTAGTCCTCATCTTTTCGAAATCTCGAACCTATAGTAGATTGAGCAGTGTCGAGAACATGAGACGATAGAGACTCCCAGACAGTATTGATCTCACCTGATTTTAGGTCAAGGGGCTGCAGAGCAGTGCTTAAGGTTTCGGCATATTTAGCCCTCGTGTTAGTATCTTGGAGTCGTTCAAGGTTCAGACGTATCTGTTTAGATCTTTCAGATCTACAAGGACGTGGAAGACGAAGATTTAATTTCATAACAACAAGCCTGTGATCAGTCCAACAGTGAGCACCACGCATGACACGGCTGACTAGGACTTGAGAGATGTCTTTTTGACGCACGATAGCGTAATCGATAAGGTGTCAATGCTTCGATCTGGGTGCATCCACGTTGCCTTGTACTTGGCAGGTAATCTGAACATAGTATTTGTAATTGCAAGATCTTATTGTGCACAAAAACTAAGCAACAGTTGGCCGCTGCTGTTCATTTTACCAATACCATGTCTGCCAAGAACTTTAGGCCAGGCGTCATAATCTCGTTCTACTAGGGCATTAAAGTCGCCCAAGAGAAGGATTTGCTCACTTGGTCAGATACGATCTATGCACCGCGTCAATTCTTTGTAAAATTTGTCCTTAATTTCACCACACTTGTTTAGCGTAGGGGCATAGACACTGATGACATTCAGATAGTTATCACGTCCCATGTAAAGGCGCAATATGGTAATGGGGTCCGAGACGTGTACAGGTAATCTTATAATTGAGCAGCAAGGTACTTCTTGACAGCAAAGCTTACATCAGACCTTCGCGGCTCTAAGGAAGCGAGTCCTTTCCAAAATAAAGTATACCCGCCGTCGTGTTCTACCAGTTCTCCTTCATCGGGGAGGTGTTTTTCGCTGAGTGCAGCCACATCAATATTATAGCGACTTAGTTCCCGAGCTATGATGGCAGTTTTCCGCTCAGGGGAGGCATTTTCTTCTCGGTCAAGAAGTGTGCGCACATTCCACAAGCCAAATGTCATCGATTTTGATAAATTAAAATTTTCATTATTTTTTCTGTGGCGTCAACCGCGGATTTATGATGCGAAGGCGACCGCGGTTGCTACCATCCTACAGGATTGGAGTGAGCATTTGCTTAGGGCACCTTTTCTAGCCCCCTCCCTGGCTGAGCGAGGAAAGCAGTGCATCCCTGAATAGGGCTGCTTTGTCACCTTGGGTGCTGCCGAATCCGCTCCGTCACTTCGATGCGGGGCAATAACGACCACGATGTATACTACACCCCCAAGACCGCCTATGTGCAGGAGTCAGACAAAACCCAACGAGAATCACGTTAAGCCTCTTTACCTTCTCCCATCGCCGTAGGACATTGACTTAGAACGGGGGCCCTATTAGAAGTAGGTTAATTGCGCAGGAGATATTAACGTGCACAAGTGTACGCGCGAACACAGGTGCACGTACTCGCCTTTGTCCCCCTGGACCCAGTGGAACGGAGATCGTTACGACCGGAGGGGGACTCGGACGGATGGAACAGTAGATATATCAGTGAAAAAGGGTACAGGGGGTCAGTCCTTTTCCATACTCCCTTAGTCGCCTTCTACGACACCCACAGGTAGATATGGGGTGGTGCTATTTTACTCCGCCGCACACCACACGGCTAGATAGATACTGATACACAGACGCAGATAAACAGATACGATACTGATGCACAAACGCAGATACACAGATACGATACTGATACACAAACGCAGATACACATATACAACACTGATACACAAACGCAGGTACACAGATACGGCTGGCTACTAAAATTGACATTTATAAGGCGATAGTGCTGCCCAACTAACTAACATATTGTACTCTTTAGAGTCATGGACAGTTTATGCCGTCTTATACGGACGCTGGATCGCTTCCACTTGCAATGTCTGCGCAAAATTCTCAACATCCGTTGGTCTGATCGCACTCGGAACACGGAAGTGCTGCGTAGAGCCCATACCATGGGGATTGAAGCCTACCTTATGGAGCGACAACTCCGTTGGTGTGTACATTTATCGCGAATGTAAGACCAGCGTACGGCAAAGTGTATCTTTTTCTCTGAACTTGAGAAGGGCAAGGTTAAGCATGGTGGACAACGCCTCAGGTACAAAGATGTACTTAAGCGTCACATGAAGAAGTGCAGCCGCTCGACGACCGGAGTGGAGGTCTTTGGTGAAAGCCAAGATCAAAATGTTTGAGGAGAATACGCTGCTCTGAATTGGATGCCCGACGTGACGAACTCAAAGCACGCCCACCTTGTGCGATTAATTATAATTTCTGTAACGGTGTGCTCACCTGCCCGCATTGCGTGCGAACATTTGTAAATAAGATCGGCTACGTTAGCCATGCACGAGCACACCAACGACAGGATCGGAGTTGAAGAGGTTGCCGTGGCCGAAATCGGTCGTGGAATATATATACTATACACAAACACAGATACATAGATACAATACTGATACACAAACGCAGATATACAGATACGAGACTGATACACAGATACGAAACTAATACACAGACGCAGATACATAAATACGATACCGATACACAAACGCAGATACACATATACGATACAGTTACACAAGGCAGATAGTAGTACAAGACAGCTAATTGGCAACAGAAATAGATAAGTGGGTGGCACCAACCCAGAAGGACTCCTGGGAAGATATTTCTAGAATGGTAGCAGATGGCTAGGATTGTTTGTGGGGAAGAGCAGTGGATAGGCTGTAATAATTGACGATTAATTTTACTTTACTCCAGCTATTATGTAAATTTTCACGCAATACGCAACACTTATTACTCAAATCAAATTAGTTTTATAGGTAGAAGGGACACGTTGCAACGTATTATGGCTATAGTACCAATGGGTATGCTCGGCCAAAAAGGATCACAGAATAATAGATACCATAATACTGTTGTGTTTCGTATAGTGAATGACATAGTCAATATCAAATTAAAGTCAAGCCAGAACCAAGCTAGCGTCAAGTCAAAGTCATGTTAAAATCAAGACAAAATCGAGTAAATTTGTTTTAGAAATTACGAGTATTTGCAGACCATACAAATTCTTGTTGCATGTGGGATTCGAACACGCAAACCTAATAGTTGCAACTTATTGCTGACACACAGAGCGGTATAGCTATAAATAATATAGAGCCTCCACAGCCCTGAAGCTGGACTTATTTTCGCTGACTGTAACAGCATTACAAAAAGAATAATAGCTTAAATAAAAGGCTAAAATTAATGTGGAAGTATACTTGATAAGTTTCATTTGTCATGTCAGGTATACGACTAAAACTATTGTTTAATCATTCACTCTTATACTAAAAGATTTGAGTAAATGGTTAAACACTAATTTACTAGAAATACTGCTGTGCCATCGGAGTCCATAATAACCTTGTTCAATAATCTTACAACTTGTAATACAATAAGGTGAGCAAATCAAATATTGAGTATTGAGGACAATCTAATATATTTTATTAAATTCAAATGTGCTGCGTAGAAAAGAGGAGAAATTTTTTTTATTGAAATTTTCGTGAATTTCTTATTTCAGGAGGTGGATATTTGTCCAAAACATTTACTAGGGAGAATTAAATCTGCCGTTTTTCATTTTCCTTGAATCAGTCGCTTCTTTGTCGTTGATGTCGCATCTTTCTCTTAGAGTGTGATACTAACATCTGATACGGAAATACGAAACCGGGATGTGCAACACTACATATACATATATGACAAGAATTCTCTTAGTATTTTGTTGAGTCCCATTACCATACCATTTATGTTTCCTTATTTTCGGTTATCTGTACAATAAAAATCATTTTTATTTAACCGCTGGTGCGTCTGCTAGTTATCATATAATTCTTGAACGAACTGACAGATTCACATATATATTTGTTATTTTGAGACGATGGTTGATAAGCTATAACTTTATACGTGCCCTTGTGCTTCGGAAAGCACAGCCGTACAAGTACAAGTATAGCCGTTGATTTTACGCATGATCTCTTTTCGGTCGTGTCGGATTGCCGTCTCGTCGGACTGTGAGAATGAAGGCATAGATAGTGCAACAGTGTTTGCGCAAATACTCGCACACTATAATCTTATCCTGCGTAGATGGTACGTATTCGTTGAAAGTGTCTGCTGATGATTGTATATGTTATGTGTATATATCACATGTACTCACAGTCACAAAATACAACAACCAGTCTTTTCCTTTATGCGTAAACTGCATAAATCGTATTGGACATAAATGCAAACATAGAACCTGATTCAATTTTTTTTGCAGGCCTTACAATTTAATTATAAAATAAGTACGACTTACGTTGTCCTTTAGAAAGATGCTTGTGATAGAAAGAGATCTTAGTTGGGGAGAAAAAATGATAATCAACGTAAGTAAATACCGTTCGGAATTAAACTATAACGAAAAGTAAACCGGAGTACAAATAAGGAATTGAGAGCCTTTTTATATCGTTCTACGGTTATAAAACTGTTACAGGATCGATAAAAACTTTATACTGATGGTATCGATTGGCATCGTGTCAGTTGTTGTTTTACTGTAATAGGTATTAGAATTTCGATCTCAAGTCGTGACAAAGTCTTGTCCATTATGCTGCGTAACATAACACCTATCCATTATTTCAGTGAAAGCTTCCGCCGGAAACGTGACGCCAGTAGGTAGTTTGTTTGTAAGAATAACGCTTGCGGGCAGACTCATTGTTTTATGTCGTTATTATTAAAACAGTTGTAGTTCATTATATTCAATTATTTTACCAAAATTAGTGTGGTTTTGTGCCTAATACTATATACATTGTACTAGGACGTTGAACTTATTGTTTTTTTTTAAACATTAATATTAATCTTGAAAAAACGGTATAAACGTGTATTATACGTTTTTTTATAGGATAGGGTGATAAACGAGCACGCAGTCCACCTGATGGTACATCAATACATATTCTTGATTACGAATCAAAATGCAAATGCATTTTCACCCGCGAGGACTAAGATGGAATGCCTCGTTTCCAGTAAAAAGGGTCTCCGATTCTCTACACTCACTTTTATCTTTGTTCAGGCATTCCATCTTTGTTCTCACGGGTGACAACTGCATTTTGATTCGTAATCGAGGATAGACGTTGATGTCTATGGGTTACATTCAATAACTTACCACCAGGTGGAATGTGTGCTCATTTGTTACCCTATCCTATATAAAAATTCATTTTGTTTTCAGAATTCTTGATGATTTATCTGAAATTACAATAAAAAACCACACAACTTACTACGGGGTAT